AGAGGAAAAACAAAAGCTGAGACTACAACAGATCACCAGCTGCAGTTACCTCCATAACCAGGTGCTCTGGTTGGTCCCGTTCACAATATTCTGTCACTCGAACACGAGAAGGTCTTAAAATAAGAAGAAGGATGACGTCCAGGAAAGGCTGGCTGGTGCCTAAGTGTTTAGTTCAGCCCTTTTTGTCCGCAGCAAACGTACGTCAGCGAAACGGACGTTTCCCCTCACATACGAGAATATCTGCACTTGGAAAAGCTTAAAAATCTGCCCCCCCACCCCGACATTTGAACTTTGATGGCGAAACCGTGTGGTGGATTTATACGTGTTGTATATTGTCATTAAAAATGTCACCGCTGGGAGCAGCAAGCGGGCAGAGTTCAAAGTACCTCCCAGTGTTGCGCCATTTTGAACCATTTCAGCCAAAGTGCCCAGACCGACATTTAAGCCGGGTGTATTTTTTTTTTGGCGTCTTCAAGTGTGTTGCTGCACAGATAACCACAGGCCAGCTGCTTCACACCACTCTACGAGCAGATTCACACACACATAGGGACAGATTGCCCTCACAAATATGAGCAAACCACACAGGCAAAATTATCTTCTAAATCTCAGAAATGGTAGGTGGCTCTTGTGTGTGTTCTCACACGCCCACGTCCCAACATCCTCTGGTCACAGCCGGGGATTCGGCTGACCTGCACTTCACAGACGGCCAACCAGGGAGCAACTGTTGAAAATTACATGAAACAAGAGAAAAACCTAGTGATGGGCGAAGGGCTGGAAGGTGGCGGGCGGCTGGCAGGCGGCTGGGGGGTTCACGGAAAATTAATTCAGACCAAGGCCCCGGTAGAGCGGGAATACGTTAAAAACGCCAAGTAAACGGCAGCCGCGGTGGTCTGGAAACGACACAGAGCGTCAGGAGCAACAGCATGCAGACATGGAGAAAAACTCCCAGCGCAACCAGAAACAACGTCACGGCACTCTTTGCCCCTGCAGAGCCCGAAGACCGCCTCCTCTCTTCCCAGATGCCACAAAGGAGGGGGGGACAAAAACTGCATTTATGACGCATTAGTTTGTTTGAGAAAAGTTTTAAAAACACTGACCTGAGGGTGGGGGGATGCAAATATCCCCATCGCTGCAAACTGGCAACCAGACACGCACACACAAAGCTGATGACAGAGACCCATAAAAGAAACAAACACACACACCCACACACACACATGCAGAAGTCTCTTACCTCCACAGCCTGTAAGAGGCAACAGTCTGGAGAGCAGGATGGCATTTTCACACTGAGACGCTCTCCAGTGACACACAGGGACAGAGAGAGAGAGAGAGAGAGAGAGGGGAGGGGAAACAGGAGGCGAGAGGAGAGGAAGTCAGGAAGAGAGAGAGAGAGAGAGAGGGAGAGGGAGGGACGGATTGGCAAGGAGAGCGCTAGAGAGGTAAGAGGAAAGAAGGGGGAGGAAGTGACAGAGGAAGGACGAGAGAGGAAGAGAGAGAGAGACAGCCCCCGACTTCTCCAGTCTTCTCGTGCTGGGCAGCATAAAGACTGAGCTGCGAGGAGTGGTATGAACAGTAGCTCCTCTCCTCCTCCTCCTCCTCCCCTCCCTCCCTTCGTCTCCTCACACGGGATTAACCCAGTGTGGGATTTTTAAAACGGTGAGCTGCTACCTGTCACGTACGCTACCACTCTTATCTCCAGGGTTGCTTTTCAATCCTCTCCTCCAAACCCGACTTCCCAAAAACGAAACACTGTCAGCTCCTTTTACTGATGGCGCCACACCAAAAGTAGCAGTCCCTCTCCCTGAAACACACCCACACCTCCTCACATGCACGAGGACAGAAAGAACAAGCTCAAACTACTAAGCCAATCACTGAGCAAACACACACACACACACTGACATTTTCTTTGAGCTGCCTAATGGTTTCAATTTCTAACCCCTCCCTCCCGCTTGTCCTCCCTCCTCTTCCTCTCCTCCTCCTCAGCTGTATGTGAAATACTGGGAGACGGTGTTAGGACCAGAGCAACATGTGTAACGCACAATGACGGCTTCAAGGGTCGCTGAGAAGGCAGCAGGAAGTCTTAAAGGCAAAAAAAAGGAAGTAAAGTTGGGGTGATTCGATCTGAAGCTGCACGGAATACGTGCCGGCTGGGCCAACAGTCTTTGGGGTGGGAATGGAGGGGAGGGCTAGAAATGGAGGGATGGATAGATGGATGGATAGGCGGGTAGGTTGGTCAGCAAATCTGGCCGGCCTCAGCAGAGGTGGAAGGAGGAGAAAGAAACATGCCGATAAAGAAAAAGAAGTGGGGTGGGGGGGAGAGGAATAGAAAGAGTAAAGAGCGAGAGCTATGGAGGAATGTCAGTAATGCAATACTGAGTCATAATCAGGCTCATGTGTAGAGCACAGGCCGGCCCAGCTGGCCCCTAATACAGTGTGCACGCCAACTCTGAGGTGCATGCGCTCCAGCACACACACGGGTAC